TTATTTATTTATTTATTTATTTAAAACACATGCGGCGTGTTTTAGACTTCTCCAGAAAGTCTTGGAGATGGAGAAAGAGATAAAAGACCTCAAAATAGAGATGGGGAACTTGACGAAACTTCCTCGCCATTCACCCGTAAAGAGAAAGTCGGCGATGTCAGACCCTCAGAAAACAAAGAGAACATATTCAAGCACAGTCTCATTAACTGGATCAGCCGCCAAGAAAGAAGACTGCCCGTCTAAGGAAGAAATCACAACTGAGAACCGACCTCTTGTGCAAGAAAAGAACGACAGAGAGGGATCTCAGGAAACGCAGAAGCGCCCCGGGGCATCCCGAAAAGAAAAAGAAGGTCAGACTGTTCGTACGAGAGAGCAGAGTCCACACACAATGCCAGCAAATACAACACTGCCGAAAGATGTATCGCACGACTCGGTTGGTGAGGAACCCTGTGGTAGCTACGCCATCACAGCTGTCTCTGAATCAAACGATGACAACGGAAATTGGCGAAATGCTGAACGTGCGTGTAAAAATAAACGTAGGGACTCTCTTCCAGACAGGCATCTTTACCGAAAACGAAACATCGTCATAAAGGGAGCTCCTGAGTCCAATTCTTCGACTGCAAAAGAAAGAATCGAACACGATCTCAACCTCTTTCAAACATATTCAAATGCCGTCTTTCAGGACGGAGAATGTGTTACCGTGCACAAAGCTTTTCGTCTAGGAAACGCAGATGCGTCGCGTGCATTACCAAGGCCTCTTAAAATTATTCTTGAAAATGAAGCCCAGGCCTCACATTTCCTGGAAGGGAGGATGGCCCTTCGTCATTCGCATAAGGAAGTGTTTTTTCAGCCGGATTACGAACCGACAGAAAGACACAAGATGAGGGAGCTCTGGACAGAACTGAAAAGAAGGACAGAAGAGGGGGAGAAGGGGTTGAAAATAAAGGAAGGCAAGATAATACAGATCAAACGATCGCTCCTGTGGCTAACCCCCTTTGTAATCAGGGCCAGTTCCCCCCGAGAAGACGGACACTAAAGGTGCTGTATTCGAATGTGCAGAGCCTGTTTAACAAGATGGATGAACTCAGGACTCTGATCGACGAGCACACGCCAGATATCATCGCCTTGACAGAAACATGGCTTTCTGAAGCTGTTGGAGACCATGAGGTATCCCTCAGAGACTACCAACTGTTCAGAAGAGACAGGAGAAGCCGAGGAGGAGGGGTCGCTGTCTATGTTAGCTACAACCTAACGGCGGTCCCCGAGCATAATCCAACAACAACAGCGGAAGTCGAATTCCTATCTTTAACTATCTCCACCAAATATGCCAGGCCGCTGGCGTTTGCAGTTGTGTATCGTCCCCCAAACCAGATTTCCGAACACGATAGCCTTCTCCTAAGGGAACTGAGCAAGACCTGCTCGAACAGAGACGTCCTTATTGTAGGGGACTTTAACGCCCCCAATATCGACCGGCAAGCTTGGACGGTTGCGGGTCCATCGAACACATTCGGGCAACATTTGCTTGAATTGGCAGCAGAAAAACTACTTTTCCAGAATGTAACTCTCGGAACACGTGTTAGGGAAAGGCAACGTTCAAATTGCCTCGATCTGGTGCTCACTCGAGATGAGGAGAGTGTGCTGGATATATAAGATCTCCCGCCAGTTGGTGCTAGTGATCATATTGTGATGCTCTTCGAGTATTCCATGTTCTCCCAGCCTAATTCACCTGAACAATTACAGGCAAATATCTGGAAGGGGGATTTTTCTAGCATGCGAACGCAAGCCTCAGCAATACCGTGGACAACCACATTACAAGGAACAGTTAATGACTATTGGAGCACGTTCAGCTCACTGGTCAAAAGAATCGTTGATCTGAACTGTCCACTCAGACGAAAGAAAACTAGCAACCGTCCGCCGTGGATAAACCGGAAACTTCAAACCGCGTTTAAGAGGAGAAATAAAGTGTGGAGACGCTATCGACAAACAGAAAGTCCTGAAGACCTGACGGACTACAGGCGACAGCGGAATGCGTGTAAACGCGAGGCTCATAGACTTCGAAGCAACTATGAGCTGTGCATATTACAAAATTCCTTGGAGCATCCTAAAATCCTCTATAGTTACATACGTAAGGGACAGAGCAATCGTGAACCGATTCCAGCGCTAAGATCCCAAAACGGAGTAATTGAGACGGATGACCACCTGAAAGCATCAGCCTTCTCCAATTTCTTTCAGTCGGTATTCACTCATGACACAAACCCTCCTGCCATGCCATATGTAGACCAACGACAATATCCCTCCTGTCCTGCATTGGAAGACAATCTTTTCTTCTCACCTACGTTGATAAGGACCTAACTACGCCGGCTGAAACCTGCCAAATCACCTGGTCCAGATGGAATTCATCCACTTGTCCTCCGAGAATTAGCCGATGTACTCTGTGAGCCGGTGTCCATGATATTTCGGAAGTCCATGGAAGAAGGCGAACTGCCGGAGGAGTGGAAAACGGCCCATATTTCTCCAATCTATAAAGGAGGATCCAGACTGCAACCCGAAAACTACCGTCCTATTAGTTTAACCTGCATTCTATGCAAGGTAATGGAACGACTTATTAAAGGGCATTTAATGTCGTATCTGGAGCAGAGGGACCTGTTATGTGCTGCTCAGCACGGATTTCGTCGTGGTCACTCCTGTCTTACAAGCAGTCTTTACTCTCAGGAAAAGTGGACAAGAGCCACAGACCAGGGCCGTCCAGTGGACGTCATCTTCTTTGACTTTAAGAAGGCGTTTGATAGCGTTCCTCATGGACGACTGCTACAGAAGATTTGGGAGTGTGGAATACAGGGCAGCATTTTTAATTGGATTAAAAGTTTCCTGTCATGCAGGCTCCAAAAAGTCATCGTTGGTGCCACTACATCCGAATGGGTGCCAGTAAAGAGCGGCGTTCCGCAGGGCTCAGTCTTGGGTCCTCTCCACTTCCTCATCTATATAAATGACTGTCCTGCAGACCTTGAATGCGATGGCATCATGTTTGCGGATGATATAAAGATCTGGAAAACAATCAGCTGCGTTGAAGATGCGCAAAAGCTACAGGAAGATGTTAATAAGCTGGCTGCGTGGTCCAGCAAGTGGCTCCTAGCGTTCAACATATCCAAGTGTGTAGTCTTGCGACTAGAATCTGGACGGAGGCGCTTTCCAAAACATCAGTACATCATAAATGGGATTCCACTAAATGAAGTGGGCACGCACAAAGACCTAGGTGTCTGGACATGCTCAAACTTGCTGCCCTCTCAGCACTGCAAAAGAGTCGTCCAAAAGGCAACCAGCACCATGCACTGGATTAGGCGTGCCTTCAAAATCTTTCCTCCAGAACTCTTCTCACAGATATTCGGCACATTCGTCAGACCGCACTTGGAATACGGAAGGCCATCATGGATGCCCTGGATGAAGAAAGACAGTGATGCCATAGAGCAGGTGCAACGACGGGCCACAAAACTGGTGGACGGTCTCAGGACTCTGTCATACCCAGAAAGACTGATCCAGTTAAATTTGTTCCCCCTATCCTATAGAAGAATGAGGTGTGACCTATTATGGACATTCCGCATTATCCACGGGCATGAATGTTCGCTCAAAACTGACGACTTCTTTGAATTCACGACCACGAGTCACCTGCGCGGTCACCCTTACAAAGTCAAGCGGGAGCGTACACGCCTAGACAATCGGAAGTTTTCCTTCAGCCAGCGTGTTGTTCGGCCATGGAACTCACTCCCAAGTGAAATAGTGACATCTGATACAATCGCTGTATTCAAAAGGCAGCTGGATCGTTTGATATTTGATAAAAGACGACTTTCACAACAGGACTACCTGCGGCCAGCCATAAATTTCATTTCTTGATTTCATCCCTACTTAACACACCCCTGACTCTTAATGAGATGCCCCCTCTCAAACTATGCAAATGACTGCACTTTATGCTGATTGTATATAACTGCACTTAAAATTTCATGTGTACACTGAGAAGACCGCCTGCCGCACCCTTAACAGTCCCGCATTGTGAAAGTTTCCCGTGAACAAATATGTTACTGACAAAATTTTAGTAAGATGTACATTTAAAATTTATATTTTATGTACCGTTTTCAATAGGGTCATCAAGGGCATTGCCTATTACCCTAAAATACAATACAATACAAATACAACAGAGGTCGGGAAAGATGTAGAATAACGGGCTGTCTCGCAAAGCGGAGAAGATCCGACACTTTACCCGCCGTTATTAGATGAAGAATTTCTTCGCCGTCTCAAAAATAGTCTATGGTTCATCAATCAAGGAGACTGCGTCATTGCTGGGCCCGGATGGAGCAACCCGTTCGACGGAGAACTGACAGATCTTGGAGTGCTGAACTGCGCTTTTCCAGGACATCCTAACTCACGCGTCAACAACTAACAGAGAAGCCGTCAAATGACTTCCTCAAGTGGATAACAATTACGATCTGGATTAGCTACACTCCCCTATTAGGACAACCAGAGCAGTGCACCATCCGTCCTGTGAAAAACACAGGGAGCAGACGGAATTCCAGCCCAAGTCTACAGGCACGGTGTCCCACAACTTATGAAAAGGCTTAAATTACTGTTGCACTCGATGTGCGACAAAGACAAACCCGTTAAGATTTCAAGGATGTCATTATAACGCATGCATAAAAACATTAGGGGAACTCGTAACACGGTAATAATCACGGAGGCATCTTCCTTCTCAACATCAGAGACCCAACCCCTACACCAAGTTCATCGAGTTGACGAGGGCCCGCTGTACGAAGAATGGCGCTGGAATCGAGAAAATCATGCCGAAGATCTGATATCCTGAGATATTTCCTCAGGTGGCAAGAGAACTCCGCAACGGGATGATGGTTTGCGCAACGGGCAACGGAAAAATTTATGGAACATTCGGTGTGAGCAATTTGGTAGGGCGGGGCTGCATACTCACTCTCACCCTATTCATCCTCATATTTTCAGCCATGTTGTTTGACGCCTATCGTGAGGACTTACCGGGGGTGGACACTGACCACCGGACGAACGGAAAACGACTAAACATGCATCGTCTAAAGGCATCCTGGCGGGTATCTAAGGCCAGAGTACGCGACATATTATTCACAGATGACTGCGTGCTAAACATCACAGCAGGAGGGACCATACAGCGGACTGTGGACCTCTTCGACTCCGGCTGCTCCAACGTCAGCCGGACCATCGACAAGAAGAACGTAGTGGTCTTGCACCAGCCGACACCAACTGCTAACTCCGACAAACCCTGTATCAATGTCCGTAGAACTCACTTCATAGTAATGGGCAGGCTCGCGTCCGATGGGAATATAATTCCAGGAAACATCAATGCCGGTGACGAAATCGCAAATCAGAACTCCAGAAGCAACCAGGCCTTCGGTTGGCTAAATCAATCTGTCTGGACTCTTCTCTACACCTTACTCAACACAAAACTGAGGATGTACATGTCTGTTGTCATGACAGTGCTCTTGTAGGAGACGGAAACGCGAGTAGTTTGCGAAGGTAAAGCAGGTAGATCTAATTATTTCTCACCTTAGCTGCCTCCTAAGATGAAGCGGAAGGAAAATTTCCCAAAAATTGAGATTCCGGAAAGAACCGGCGTCCTCAGTATTCACGCCATGCTGAGGCAGATACGACTGCGATAGAGCGGCCACGTCGTGAGAATGAACGACAACCGCCCGACCAAGCGGCTTTTCTTCGCCGACGCAGGTAAAATTAATGGCAGACCGGGCTCATTCTAAGGACTTTCTGGAGTTCCTCATCAAGCACCTACGAATTCCCCCAGTGACATGGGAGAACTTAGCTTAAGATCGGCAAATGCGCTGAACTGTTGTAAGATTGGAGTAACCATTTTCTTCATCAACAGAATAGTCGTTGTCAAGGGAAGGGACAAGGATAAAGGCTCGCAAAACTCAAGTGTCTGGCATAAATGACATCAGCAGTCAATCTTCACTATCCTATCTACACTGACAGGGGTGTAGGGGTGTCAGCGGTGGGTTCACGTAATGGTCGTGGTGGTCGCTCACTTGCTTGCAGGTGAGACTGCGCCTAGCGTCCACTTGCTGGCACTCAACTCTCACCTGTGGCTCCACGTAGCTGGACTCTGCTCCGCGGTCACACACCGGGCAACCGTCTCGACCGGCGGGATAAACCAGGTGAGGGGACCCTGTGCGCTGTGCCGTGTGCACAGGGTTTGCGGATTCCGCTGGATGGAAGGTCGGATGGAACATTGCGTCGGCACCGTCGTGACGTGGTTCGTCTCTGCACGCCGCTGGACAGTCGGTGACGGGATGGATCTCCACATCGACATCGCCTTGACGCGCCCACCTACGCCGTCGGAGACCGCGGCTTACGGCGAATTCGAGTCGCTCTCCACCACAACCCAAAGTAGTGGTCCCATAGTGGAGTTCGGCCGTGCCACAGCGGCACATGGCAGCCCTATTCAGGGATGGCACTGCCAGCCCCCACGAGGGGAAGGGCCTAGAAAAGGTGGCCTAAACATTGCTGGGAACCACGCCGTCTCCAGGCTAGCCAGGGCCGCAGACGTCTTATCATGGTCGAAACAATCAAAATCGAAACAACAACAATACCAATAACAACAACAACCATACTCATTCTCCTCATCCTACCTCTTTTTCCTCTTCCTCTGCCTATTCTTCTCCTTCGTCACCTTCTTCTCCATCTCCTCCCCGTCGCCCACTCGTTGCCACCAGACTGGCAGGGTGAGCCCGCTCACTCTGGCAGCCTGGAATGTTCGTTCCCTTTTAGACAATCCGAAGAGCAACCGACCGGAGCGGAGGACGGCGCTATTGGCACGAGAACTGGCGCGCTACAAGGTGGACATCGCCGCACTCAGCGAGACCCGATTCTCCGAATAAGGCCAACTGGAGGAGGTGGGTGCCGGCTACACCTTCTTCTGGAGCGGTCTACCCAGGGCAGAGCGACGGGACGCGGGTGTCGCCTTCGCCATTCGGAACGACATCGTGGGACGACTGTCCTGTTTGCCGCAGGGCATCAACGATCGCCTGATGAGCCTCCGTCTGCCTCTCCGGGGTGGGAGCAAATTCGCCACCATCATCAGCGCCTACGCTCCGCCGATGAGCAGCCCCGACGCCGCCGCAAGAGAAAAGTTCTACGAGGACCTGCACGCCCTCTTGGCGACTGTGTAGAAGGCGGACAAGTTAATTGTCCTTGGTGACTTC